CCCCCCCCAGTTTTATATTACATGACAGGAAAAAATATGTAACAGATATTCCCCGCATCAAGGTAAGATGAGATTAAAAATACTCCTCCCTGAGGACTTCTGCATAGCTGCAGGCTGCTGCCTGAAAGCAAATCTAGTATGACTGTGCCTAGTGCCGGTGATTCCACCAATGACCAGCCAAGGATCTAAAGCATTGAGAAAATGGTTAGAAATCTCATCAGTGCGAGTCCAGGTCCACCAACAACAGCATTTTCTAGACAGCTGCAGAACTGTAGGATACTGAAAGGCTGCGGATGGCAGCAGTAAAGAGGGCTGTGCCTATTGAAGCCCCAGTCTACTCTTGCTTACTGCTCCATCTCATTAGTTAACACATCCTGATGACAGCGTCCTGTAGAGACAGCTCACAACAAAAGGCATGAACTTCAGCCTAGTACGACCTGATTATGTTAGCACAAAGAGAGAAAAGGTAAACAGCAGCAATGGCAATTACTGGCCAAGGCACCAGTGAGGAAGACCAGGTGATTGAGACAAGCCATGCATATGAACAGGTAACAGCTAGTCACCAAGCTGCTATGACCTCGTGGAGTTAGCACTACTAGAAACCTTCCAACACCAGCATGCCAGACAATCTTTTTCTTCTATTTCTCCATAGACAGGTAAGCTTCAGGTTTGCAACCGCTTGATTTAAAAGTGTGCATGCACAAGGGTGTGCACAGTTATCTAATTTCACTGGTGAAGATGTAAGACAGGCTGTGTTTCGAATAAGGGCAACTAATTAGCGTAGAACAGTTTAAAAAAAAACCAGAATACAACTTGGCAACACTTAAGTCAGGCTGCCACAAACTCAGGCTTCACCTGTCTCATGCTCCAGTACAAAAGAAAACAATTAATAAAATAGTTGGAATGCAGAAACAGGATAAGAGAAGCCGTAAATTAGGGAATAGTCCTTGGGTACGAACTAGAAAAAGACACAAAGTTTGAGGCAACCTGATAAAGGGAGGCCCAATATGCCAACAAGCCTGGGACCATCTGGGCAGGATGGATAACAAGGTTGCTGAGCTTGCAAAATGGAGATAATGAAGAAGAGGTTACCCAACTGTGTACACTGAAGAAGAGAAAGAGGAAGATTTGAGGAGGACGACTCCTGACGACCACCTGAGAAAGAAACTGTGCAGGCGTATCAGGACATTAGCATATATTCATCAGTTCCCGGAATAATAATGAATATGTATTAAATTTATCAGAAACCTAATGAATATGTAAACTTTTTTGTAATATAAATCACGAACAATTTGTTTCTCATCAAGAGGCACGTTCGTGGAAATATCCAGGTGCGACTCCCAGCGCTGCAATAAAGGATACCTGCTTAATAGTCACATTGGCTATTGAGTGAATTTTTTTTGATTCAGTTTTAAGCTACAACACACTTCCTTCACAACACAAAAATGTTTTGTCAACAGAACAACTCCACAAGACACTTTCAGACCTTCCAAACATCTCCAAAGGCCCTGGTTTGTCTACGTGACCTGCTCTTGCACTCTGAAGCCTGAGTAAGTGAGGCACGTGTATGAAATAGTCTTAAGAAAACCTTAGAGAGAGTAAAGAATCTTAGATCAGGTTTAATAGGTGCTATGTGCGACACACAGAACCTCAGCTGTAAAGGATGTAACTCCTTGTAATTTCACTGCTTTACACATTTGTATCAGAGAATCAGTGCAATACATGGTGGGTATATTTATGCTGCACTTTTTGTTACAGAAATAAAAACAGCAATGGTTTTATGAAAGTGTCAATCTAGTTTCTGGAACAAAACCAATCACATTTTTGTTAAGCCCAACAAACAATCCCACAGTACTTGAGCAATAAACCATAATCCATACTTTTAACAGAAGAAACTTTTCTATGGTTATTTAAAAAGTATAGAGAGAAGTGCACTGAGCGTATAAAAGTCATCATCTGTTGGTTGCCAACCCTTTACAGACTATAAGGACTAGTTGCTATTTGAAAGCAGTCATAACAGTGGGAGGAATACAAATGGATGCAAGTTAAGTCATACTTGGATCAGGCCTCTGACTCCAGCTCAGCTAAGATGAACAGTTAAGATGACGTGTTCTTACGCTCTTCAGCCAACCTATGTGAAAGCTGGACTTGGTTCAGAAGCTGCAGCTACCTGGCTAGTCCCTACAGAAGAAAGGGATGGGGCAGGCTCACAGCGGTGAAGTGCAGCCACACTTCCAAGGTGTCCATTTCAGTACTCTGCAAAAGCACTTAAGTCAGTTAGAAATAAGTTGAATCAGAACTTCTAGCCAAAACTATGATTTTTTTCTGTTTTTAAAGGAAAAATATCTGACAGACAAAACAATACATACAGGATCATGTGATAAAACAGGTATACTGAAACCGAGTGACTTGTAAGAGAGTTCCTGTTTCCTGGTATTGTTCTGAGACCACATGATAAATTTTGCTAAGAGGATCAAGAAGTAATCAAAAGTGATTGTGTCACTTCAACTCAATGTGCACCACATACCAACCAGGGAACACAATTTGCACTTGTCCAGACACCCATCCCACTCAAACTGAAGTATAAAGCACTGGCTTCACCCAACATTTGTATTTCATTTACTGACCCCAGCTAACTCAATATGGTATATAGATCAGTGTGGGTCAGCTGATAAAGGCAGTTCGGTTGCTTGTGATTGTCTGTTGAGATGCTCAGGAAAACCAGAATTTTTGTTTGTTTGTTTTGAGTGTTCATACACACTTTGCAACAGGCACCAGTGGTACAGGTTTTGAGGTCACAGGAACGCTTGTCATTCACTGCTTTTAAGAAAGCTTAGAGCAGAAATGGAGAACAATGCATACATTAAAATAGTAACTACCAATGTTCTTGGGTAATACACCCAACTTAGTATGTATAAAAAATAATATTTAAAAAAAATAAAATTAAATAGCTTCCTTGGGAAACAAAATTAATTCTGCATTTGCCATTAATTTATTTTTTAAAAAAGCTATTAATGTGGAAGTTTCAGGGTAAAAAACCCTGCATTCATCTTTACCCTTCATGTCCAAAACCAGCTCTGTGCCAAATACAGAACTACCAAGCATTGAGACAGTTCAGTATCACAAGGACAGCAGGTGGTCTTTGGAGTGTAACTACTTCACGTCCCAGTTTTATCCCATGAACTGCATGTCTCATCTTTCCCATTGTCTCATTCTGAAGTCTAGTTGCTGTCCGAGTCATTGTCATCTTTTCCAGACGGAGCATGTTTGGATGAGTCATTGGCTTCTCCCAAAGGAACAGCCCCTTTCCGCTGTGGCAAGACACTGAAAAAGGCCTCCTTCCAGTTTCTCTTCTCCAGGTATGCAAGGATGATCTCAAACACTGCAATGTCAAGAAAGACCATCAGCTCTTTTAGAGGGAAGTAAGTGAACTGCTGATAGGAACACACTCCTAAATCCATCTTTACAGAGGTTTACATGCATTCGCTTCTGGCATCTTCAGAGTAAAGCTGATGAAGTACAGGCAGAAGCAGACAAGGCAATTCTGCTAGCGCTGCAGTCTAAAGCCAAGCACACTTTGAGTCTCCAGCTGTAAGACACTACAGCAGTGCTTTTCTGCAGCAGCTTCAGTTTGAATTCATCTCTCTCATGGACAGAGAGAAATGTCCCCCCAGTACTTCAGGCGTCACCTGTGCCTTCTATACAGGCACTCATGCTTTCCCACATTTGACAGGAATACTCCTGCGGATATACTTTAACAATGACTTTGTCTCCTCCCTAACATATAGGGGGTTTTAGGAATACTTTGGGCTGCCCATTATTACCTTTCTGTTTCATTTTCATCTGCGCTTACAGCAAAATTCCTTATTAATCTCCAATTCTGTGACCCTTTCTTGCTGTTTCTATTATGCTATCCATACAGTCACCCTACTCCTCCTGTTTCAGCTCCTGAAACTTTCCCTGATTGACAACAGTTCTGAATTGCATTATATGCAAAATTCATAGGCAAATTCTTATTTAGAAAAATCCCAGGCTATCAAAAAAAACCCTCAACACAGATTGTGGCTCAGCAGCAGGAGGGAAGGCAGGAGGAGGCCCTATGGCTGGTGAGTAAGCCAGACTTGGATGACAAATCTGGGACAGAGGGGTGGCTCCTCAAGCTTGGAGCTACAGGAATAGTGCTAACACCACCAGAGAATGCTGACTTCAAAGAATGCACCCAGCACAACCCTTCTCAATGCCAAGTGACAGCATATGAGAAAGGATCAAAGGAGCTGTGGAGGGAAAAAAACCCAACTTAAGAGAGTTAGGCAGGCATTCAGAAAGGGAGGAGCAGCATGGATCTCATACTCACTGAGAGTCAAGTTACAGAAAAGTGTCACATTTACTAGAGGTTTCCTGGATCCAGGCTTACTGGACAGCCAGCTGCTCTCTGTGACACTGATATTGAAGAGTTGGCCCTTTTACTAAGCAGGTTATTCACCTGAAATGTACTATGAAGGTATGAGGTCTCAAAGGACTATATTAATATCACTATAAGTTACTGCAGAAAGCATCTGTGGAAAAAATGCTGGCTTAAGAGACAAGGAATATAAGGAGTACATTTCTTCTCCTTTGTTTTGGAACTTCTATTATCTGCATAGTAAAACAGAACTGATGGAAAAAGAGCAGCTTCCACAGGAGAACACGGGCTTCTATGATGGGCTACAACAAAAATATGCAAGGACAGAAAAAGGCAGTGGGAACAGTTGGTAGGAATGGAGCAATATGGTCCCTGTAATATACATTACAAAGTATTAGCCTTGGGATACAAACCTGAACAGAAAAAAACAAACTCAGCTACACTGGCAGTTGTGTTTTACAATACAGTGTTTTACAAAGATCTCAAATCTTCCAAGTTTTAAAATCCCAGATCGAGTAAAAAATAGTTACACCTTAGACCTTGTCAGTTTTCTAGCGCCAAGTATTTCACACATACGTGTGTTCCTGTTCCTCATGCCATTTTAACGTGGCAATGCAGGCACTGAGCTGCCTGTGGAAATATATGGAGACTAGATCCAGAGAGAGGAGGATTATAAATAAATAAATAAGTAAAAAGCAAGGACACCATCAATCTCCCACCGCCAGAGGGCCCATTTAATTAAAGCGCTTCAAAGACTGACAAGGCAGTTCAGAAAGAGTGTTTTCTTTTTGGACTTTCCAAATTCACATCAAAAGTAGTTCCACAGGGATCAGGCAGGTCCCACAGTCTCTTCTGGCAAGCCCCGTACTGTACTCTGCTAGCTTCAGCTTCTGCACCAAGAATGGAAACCCAAAGGCCAGAATAACCAAATCAAAACAGAAAGCGTGAGCGATTGCACAGTTACACAAAGCAGTGAGGTGGATGTATTCACAGCAAAATACAAAAACCTCAGCACAAATATGAGACTTGAGAGGTAGCTTGATTCTGTCCACCTTACTCATGTCAAGTAGCATCTCCCGTGAAAGCTATCTTTTTGGATTTAGGTTGTAAACTATTAAGGTTATAATACACACCAAAGCCTTAATTACAACTGTTAAAGGTACCTCTACTTGTGGTGGTGGCAGTGTTGTGCTTATTTTCCTGCCCGAAAACCTTAAGCAAAATACTGCTACAGTATCATCTTTACCTTAGAAACCCTTAACCTGTGTGTTAAGAGCTTTTCAGCTGCAATTTGAAAATATTTTAGAAGGGCAAGGGAAGATAAGCTCACACAAAATCAAATCTCAGCAACTAAATTGCAGTGGAGGAAGTGCCTATAAGTCTGGCATAAGAAACATGCACAATACCATAAAGTACATAAATGAAAGCCTCAATGTAAGTGATCCAATTTATACTCAAACATGTAGAAGACAGCCTCCAGAAATGTTGACACTAGAGGTCAGTATAAGATTACTGCAGAAAAACCCCAGTAGAAAGCTACAGCTATCGTAACTTTTGATGAATACATAAAGTCCTATTCTTGTCTATATAAAGCAACATTTAAAGATCAAGTTTTAGAAACGTGTACGATCTTACAAATACATGGAGTCTGATAATTTTTAATTCCAGTGACATAATGTTCTCTTCCACATTTAAATAATCTTTATTATCATGCAAATACACACCTCATCAATCAATGGTATTTTAAGAAAATAAAGTTATCATCGAGCAACGTATTACATAATAAAATAAACTTGAAATAAAGCAAGGTAAAATAAAAGAACCTGAATTGGGGCAAAATAAAGATTTGGACACCGTATAAAAAATTTCCATAAAGGTCTCAGTGCATGTATTTTTGTTTAATGACACTGAAAGATAATCTAATAATAAAATGGAAAGTTTGAAAGGAGTGGGATTCAAGACTTGGTTAGGCTACTGTATACTTCAAACAGAAGGAAATCAGGTAAAAATACAGTTATGAAAGCTCAGCAGATGGAGTACTGCTTATACCAAGCGAGGCAAGTCTACAGGTACCTAAGCAATCACTGCTAAACAAAGCTGTCCAAAGAGGTGAAAACATCACACACATTTATCCTCCCCTGGGGCAAAATACATGGGTAGTTTCCAACATTTTACTCATTTAGACATTAAGCCTGGAAACAAGACCAGGATGGTAAGAATGGAAAAATTACTCATGGGACAATTCAACAGACTAGGAGGTGCACTTCTGAGTGGCTAAGACACCATCCTTTACATTTAACCATATCTGAAGTATTTAAAGCTCAGGGCAATTACTGTATCTCAAAGGCAACTAGATTCAAGAAATATCAACATAATAAAATAAGGATTAGGTATCTGCACTACAATGCACATTTTAAGGGTTCAAATTCTGCATATCACAGGTATATTCTATAATAATGTCATTATTTTGGGATTTGAAACTTACCATGATTGACGGCTAACACTTTCCGACTGTTCATCTTGACAAAGTTTCCAAGCGGGAGCTGTGCATGACCAATTCCTTGCTCTACAGCTTTTCTGTAAGTAACTCCCTGCAGTAAAAACACCAGAACAAGTGGACTGAGAATCACCATTTCAGATCAGCACATACGGATTACTGCAAGTATCATTTTCTGGCAAGAGTTTTGCTGCCATGATCTTGTTTTAGAAGATATTCACAAAAAAACCCAACTTACACTGGTTAGACAATACCTGCTTCAAGGGTTACATTTGGAAAACTTACTAGTTTGAATATGTGTCACACAGTGATGTATAGTCAAAAGGATTGTAAATAAAACTTGTTCATGCAGCTGCAGTTCTACAATGTGTGAGCCATAGACTGTGTTAAAGGCAAGTTTATGCTTAAGTAAAAAGTTACTCAGATTGCAGTAACTGGGTATTTTTTGAGAGGAGGAGTAAAAAATAAAGAAATTTCGTTTGCCTTTTTAAACCTGGTAACTCCTGTGCCCAAGATTGGCAAAAAAAAAAAAAAAACCCCTTTAAAATTGTGTAAGCACTTTATACCGTAATGACTATACAAAGGATCTGCTTTAGCTCCCTCCTAGCCTTTAACTGTGGACTAACTGCTGTAGTACCATTTGGTAAGGCTTAAGATCCATCCCTTTTTTTAGCATCACACTGAAATATTAAACATGTTACCAGAAATTACATAGGAGTGTCTTTGAAGAAAAGCAGTAACAGTGCTTTAATGTCCCAGCTGAACTCTCTTGTGACATTCCAGGTCCACACAGCACGATTCCACATACAGGTATGGAACCAGATCCCTGAGGCATGTGTGTTACTTAGCCAAGTTCTCCTGACAAGCAAACTTATTAAAAAAAGACATCCAAGATTCAAGCACTGTTCTTCATCTATATTTGGGCATGTGCACATACAAGCGCACATGCACGCACACACAAGTGCATGAAAAGAAACCAAACCCTTCTGTCTGAAAATACAGCCCTCGGTAAGCTGAGCAGTGTTATTAATTCCATTCCTATATTTAAAATGAAAAGATAAAATCCTAAAAAGCTTAGCGTGTCTGCACTCTGGAACACCACCTTGCTACCACTGCAAGGGTTTTTTTTCCCATTTCTTCAAAAATTTTTTTTTATGTAAGTCTTTTTTGAAGACGTTTTCTTGTTATTTATTTTTATTAGTTTATACATGAATAACACTAATGTTAAATAAGATGTCAAAAGAAAAAAAAGCTGTACAGAAACAGACCCACAGTCTACCTTGTGGTGATTGTGGTCCACCAGTCCTCCAATCACATAGGCTTTCTTCTCATCAAGCTCACTGAGAACGTCAGGAGAATCTGAGGTAAGATACACTAGGTCTTCTTTCTTTATTAGCTCACTGTAGTGCTCTGTTCTAATTTGGATATCCTCAAAAAAAGGTAGTTAAAAGAAGTTACATGCAACTGCTGAATTGCTAGGCAAGCTTTACAGACCCAAGATGGAACCAGCAAAAATAAATCCAATAGTATGCAGTCATTCCACATCCCTCATTCATGTTTAAGTACGTAGCACAGTGCAGATTGACTTCCGCACAAATAATCCACAGTCCCCACAGCACTGACTTGTAAAAATCATCAGGAAATTTTCTGAAACCCCAAAAGAACTTTAAAAATCTGTAAGTTCTTGTGATTCACTTCAAATTTTACCATATTTCTTCTAGAGATCCAAATAATTTTCAAGTCTACCTTCTAAAAAAAGTGAAACCAGAAGTAAATGCTTAGTTAATATTACTTGTTCGGTAAGAGAGGTTTATGCTATGCTTGTGCAAAGCAGCTATCGCACAAGACATGCTGGCAGTAGAACTGTTCGTATTTACGCAAAGTGCTCTTCATTTGAAGTTGCTGGCATACCGGTTTAACAGGGAGTTGCAAGGAAAACCAACATGAGTTTGACCACAAGACAAGCTACTTCTCTAAAGAGCACTTCAGTGTTGAGAGGCAACATAACGGAAGTGAAGGTGCACACAACAGCATCACATCATGACTTCAAAGTCTTACTTTTCACCAAGAAAAAAAAAGAACGCTGTCCAGACAACTGTCAGAACTGCCCAAATCAAGTAGTCTTACTTAGTCTATGAGAGAATGGAACCTGTTCAATGAAAACAGGTGAAAATAGATATATGTGGAGTTTTTGAAGCAAAAATCAAATCTAGATTCAAGACAAGCAGTCTTTGGCTTATTTAAGTTAAATTAATTTAAAGCACAAAGAGCCACACTATTTCTAATATGCTAATGCTCTGAAGTGTTAGAAAAACCCATGTGGAAAAAGTACAGTTCCTTCACAACAACCTAGTTAGCAACTGTAATCAAGATTTGTTTTTCTCTTTTTTACAGAAATAGTCAACTATTCACCTTCCAGTTCACCCATCCTTTGTCATTTTCATTCATGTTGCTCTTCAACTGTCCCCCATGGCTGGTCAAGTAAAACTTCAAAAAGAACAAACAAGAGGTACAAAATACAAAAACAGTAATATGCCTATCTGTTTCCTTTCTGTATAAGACTATTTCTACCCTTAACTATTAGCTAAAACTCTTAATTATTTTTTTAGCTGAAAGTCATACTAAGACCATATTCATACAGTTAGTCACACATTTAAAAGACAAATACATGTTTACAGTCTTTTTTTTTTTAATTTGTCACAGATAAAACTGAGTATCAACAGTATTTTAGTGGGACGCCAGTATCTGGCACTCTTCATCTGCATGCACGTACCTTTTCATATATATGGGGATTTTTATAACATGTGGGTTGAAAATCTATTACAAGTAATTTTCTTACTAAAAAGAGGCAGCTTAAATATATTTTTTTTTCTACTAGAATTCTCACCACTTGGGTCACATCTGCCTTTCTCACAGGCTTTGTACATGGCAATACGGTCAGTGCTCAGTTTGTTTAAACATACCTGCACAGGATGAAACGCTTTGCGGTTTTCTGCATAACATCTCTGAATTTGCTTGTGAAGCTTCTTAACATCCTGTATACAACACAATTTGTTTTTACATAGTCCTTCAGACAGACCACCACAAAATGCTTTACCATGAGCCAGTCAGAAGCTAAAGAGAGGAAAAAGGAAGCTTTTAACTGGCAAAAGTGACTACTGAGAGAGTGTGGACATCAGACTCCGAGAGAATAAACAGCCACTATGAAGGGATTATGCTGACAAGGAAACACACGCATCTTCCACGCATCTTCCACAAAAGTGCATTTAGACACCTCTACGCAGGTGCTTGATTTGCATTACACTAGGAAACAAACAAAACAAAAATCACTGGGATTTATTTATATGTAATGACATACTCAGAATTAATCTGAGGAATCAAGCAGATTTATCACTTGACAAATACTCAGTCTTTCACCCATGGGAAAACCATGAGAATATACAGTTTATATTTCAGAAAATTAAATATGCGTAATTAACCCAAAGAACCCCAGAACAATGCAAATAATTTAGTGGCTGGCTCTGGCATTTTGACCTGACAATTTGGACAACAGTTAATTAGTACTACTTAAAATGCAGTGGACTTAATTTTTAGCCAATTATGGTTTTTGTAAGGTACATTACATAGCGTTATTCTCAGTGCCCCAAAAGCAGTATTTTGTAAATATAACTGATTCCCATTTTAAAATGAAACATCATTATATTGCTTTGATTCATGCAGCGCTTTGAAAATGTTCTGATATATGCAAAGGATTTCAAGTAAAAAGGAGTTTATCGCTACAATATTGCGATGCAAGTTTTTACAGACACTAGAGAAAGCACCTAATTAACCCCATTGCTAAAGGCCACAACCATCTTCACTTACAACACTTCGCCCTTCTGAAACACCTGCAGAAGTGCCTAAAACCTGCAGGTTTTATATCAGGCCTAACAGAGGCTCTGCCTGACCGAGGAAGGAAACGTGTTTTACAAAGGACTAAGCTCAGCAAGAAGCACCCAGTCAGCATCTCTGAAACTATCAAGGGAGTCCTCTTGTCTCTTCCGGGGCACTGCTGAAGGGGGCTCCTCAGGGAATCAAGTTCCAAAACGCCAACAGGAACTTCCCCAAAATTTTGCAGTGAGCAGCATTAGCCTCCGTTAGCGCTATACATGCTCTGAATTATACTCAACAAACGGTCGGCGGGCTTTGCACAAGCTTGAATTCAAGCAGTCTTGCAGGGCAGTGAAGTCCCTGGCAGCAGGAGAAGAGCTCACGGTAACAGGGAGGGGAGACGTCTGCCTCAAAAACTGAAGGCTGTAGATTAACATACTCTCCTCATAGAGTTAAAGTTGTTTTGATCTCAAACCACCACACCAAGCATCCGGACCAGTGGTTGGGTATCATGCTTATCTTTCTCATATTTACCTATCCTGCAATCATCTCACCCATCTTTCACCCATTCTAAAATTTTAAAGATGGCGTGAATGGGTGTCCTCCTGTCCCAACTGCCTCTCGTGTGACTGAGAGAAAAAGTTCAGTATCCTCATTTTGCTCAACATTCTCATTTCCACAGGTACTTACTAACATGCTTTGGAGCCCCAGGTCCATTTTGAAAGAGAAAGTAACTGGATGTGGCATTTGCAGCCCCTCTAGCAAAACCATTTTCAGGCAGAACTGCATCTAACCTCATGGTGAACATGTGGCACAAACTGTTTCTATATTCCTGATTTTGAAATCAAACCAACTTACCGCATCTCTATGAAGGCAAACAAAATTTTGGCAAGCTTCTATAAAGGTACATTCCAAACCCTAAAAAATTCAGCAACTGACATAAGCAGGTCTGGGAGTCACCACAGTCTGAAACATGCTAACTATCCTGTGCAAGCTGCTCTCCAGTTTTTGTGCTCTGACATTGCAACACCAATGTCAACGGAGAACCTTTCAACACTTGTATGTGACGGGTAAGTTTCTTTTACCTTTAGCACCATCAGGTCATCAAAGCTGCAGTCCACAATGAGGCGAAGCGTACTAGGAACAACTTCCCTTCGCATACGCTTTCTGTCATTCCCTCCGTTATTGGAGTCCAATTTTGACTGACGTTCTAGTTTTCTCTTCTGGCGTTTCTCTTTTCGTTTCTGCCTAAATAAAGAAAAAAAATAAATCTTCAATAAGTGCTGCCAAATGTGCTGAGGTACGTGTTATGCACATAAATGCATACTTCTATGATAAAGGTGGTTGTCCCATGACTCCGGTAGTCTAAATATCCTGTTGCTCACATTGGTGCTAGGCTGATAACAGCATGAAACACGTGCTCTGTCTTTGTGAAGTTCTGTATATACCTACCAAGACAGACATCTGACACAAATTCAATGAAGTCAATAGTGGGAGTCTCATGGATTTAAGGGTGCTCTGAGTCAGGTCTCATAACAGAAACACACAAAAAGATTGCCAAAATGGCAGTATCAGAATGAGGAAGGCAATCTACCTCCTGTTTCACTGAACAGTTTTTCAAAAGGCTTCTGAAGTAGTTGTTTCTTTTCCCTGTTGCCCCAATGGGAGCAGACAGTTGGGAGATCACATTTCAGAGACAGCA